TCAAACCCCATTAGTACCGGTTCGTGGCACGAACCGGTACTAAAGGTCCCATTTGAACCGGGACTAATGCCTTTGCCGCATGAACCGGGACCAATGCTCACATTAGTCCCGGTTCATGACTGAACCGGGACTAATGGTCTAACCCGGCCTGGACCAAAGCCCTGTTTTCTACTAGTGATTAAGCCCAATCAATAAATGCTAGGACAAGAGTTTTCACCCGGACATGAAACGGTGCTCCCGTCACCATCTTGATGATGGATCTTCAGATAGTCACACCAACCAGTACTCCATGCCGTTTCGGAAAAGGCACTAGTAGATTGGTGGGACGTCTTCCAACCTTAGAATAATGAATTTTGTGTTAAAAGACCCCAAAGCACTATTTGCAAAAGTTAAAAGACCACAAAGCACTATTTGCAAAAGGTAAAGACCACAAAGATAGACAGAACAAAATATAGCTCATAACAAAGACCACTTAAATCCAAAAAAAATGCAGTTATGGCAAGGAACTGCTATGAGTACTCCCTTATGCAGCTCCTTAAGTATAGGGACGTTCTAAATATTATGCCACTGGGCGAGAGGAGAGAGCAGACGGTTTACAATAGATTTCCCCTTTGATGCATAGTTGTTTTGTCCATCATAATAACAGCATGCTAATATATCGTTCCAGACATCCATTCCAAGAATAATCGTTGGCTAGGGTGTAGGCAATTCTTTTAACAAGAGATTGGAGTTCGGCGTTTTTATATTGATAAAGGAGTAAACAGCTCTGAGCAAATGCCATATAGGGTAGTTCCTCCGTCGTCAGCCCTCCTCTATCGTTATATTGCCTGCTACCTCCTCTACCAGCTTCGCCCATGGGGTGTGCAGCAAGGACCTGATCTACTGGTCGGGACTTCCAAGGTCTCTGCTAGTAGTTGGCATGCATGCACGATAGTACTAGCTATCTATGATACTTTCATTACGAGTAGCGTTAAGGATGCGTACATTTTATTCTTTCCGAATCAGTTGTGTAGGCCATAATTCAGCTGCCTCCATGAATGTATCCATCCACATAAAAAAGCTTCTAAGCGTAGGGAATGATGCACTGGCGTTAGCTACCCCCATGCATGATGGTTTTCCTTAATTTGCCTGCTCCAACCTCCCAAAGCACATGTCGTTGTCCCAATGTCTCCTGTGACTATACGCATGAGAGCCAATCAACAGAAGGCAAGGTATTACTAAATTCAAAATGAAAAAAACTGCACAAGACGCGGTTGCTTCTATCAAGGTATGATCGAGTAGTTTATATGCACTTTGGACTACCGTGCACGAAATTAAGATGCAAACGCGCAAAATGGACCAAATCAAGGGGAGCACGCGCATTCCTATGGATTGAAAACTCGTATACTACTTAAATTACAACGATGATTAATTCGACATAGATTATCGAGGACTTGTCATCCAACTTGCAAACAAATAGCTGAAACTAGGAGATTTAATTTTCATGTTCCTATCATTCATCTTGTGTTCTCTTGGCTCATTCCTTGAATCTTCTCAACAAAAACTATAAAGGAGGAAACAAAAGGACAGCTTGGGTTACCCAATCAACGCGGCTCTAGGGCGGCAGGGCCAACTCACATTAGTTGACTTGTGTTTTCTGGAATGCTACCACCATACTGATAACTCCAAGTGTACCACCGTTTATATCAGAGACAACGGTTTTGAAATTAGAAGCAACGCAATCTTCAGGTGCTAGATGAGTACGCCTGAGATGCCAACGATAGAGCTTCGCAGCATGCGTGAGCTTCAAGCGTAGCTGCCTCTGTTACAGCCCATGTACATGATGATAGGAGGGCTCGTAACATTTTTGCACGTGCTAGTTGCTGCTTTCCCACTCGAAGCTCTGAGGTTTAACTAGGTGTAAAACTTCCAAGTCTGACAAGAACCTAGTCTGATATTCTCCTTCATGTAGGAGTAATAACAAGCACAATCTAGGTGAACCCCGCATGCGATAAATAATCCCTCATTGAGAATATCCAATCTTTTGCATTGCATTCAGTCAGTTGTTAGCATGTGCTCAACTAATTCTGAATCAGACAGTGCCCATACACATCGTGTCGTTGTACATTGAATTAAGGAATGCATCCATGAGCGACCGGCTCCACAAATAGCACAATAGGAGGAGGAAACCATGTTCTTTTATTCAGGATATCAGCCGTGGGTAGTGGTGATGAAGGAACTAAATTTTGGTATCACTCATATCCGTTGTAGCCAAAACCGCACAATCATGCAAGACATACTTTTGATTCGAACACTCCAGTAGTTTGGGATGGTAATTCCCCATTTTTATCTTGCAGGATGTAATAAACGATGTAACCCATTTGAAGTTTAAATGAAGTGCGCCGTATGGCATCCCCTAAAAAAAACCAGATAGGTCGAACCAAGATCTGCAAATGACCACATGGTAACCCGCCTACTGTACTCTACAATTTATTTAGGTCAGTGTAGTGAACCAAGTATATATATTTTCTAAAGTACGTTTATGTTTCACTACTTTGGATCCGCTGTACATTTGTTTTAGTTTGCACAAGAATTTTGACTGACAGCCGGATTGTAGAAGATTAGGAAAACATATTGCAGAGTTAGACCAGATTTAAGATCTAACATATCAGGGTAACCTACCATGCTAAATAACATGTTGCTGACTGATATCGCATATCTCTGATTGTTGACTAGAGTAAAAGAAAAATATGTCTAGTATCAAAAGTTAATGACCAGACTTGCATAGTATGCAAATTTAGAAATAAAACTGAACTCAACCAAACTTTGGCGCTAAGATGGAACCTTCTACTCTTAGCCATAGGAGTATTTAACCAAAAACTACCACAATTCACGGAACCCGTGACGAAAAACTACCACTTTACGATTCTGTACGAAAAACTACCACTTTTTTCCTAATCCGTGGCAAAAAACTACCAAGTCGCGAAATCCCTCGCTTCGCCTCTCCTAAACGCATTTCTGACAGGATGGGCCCACCTGTCAGCATCAATCTTCTTCTTCCTCCTCCTCCTCCTCTCTCTGGCATTTCCTCGAACACCTCGCGTGCACTCCGGTGACCCTCTCGCCCGCACTTCGCCGCGTCCACGACCACCTCGTGCAGCTCGCGGTCGCCGTCCCCGTACCACGCTCACTCGCCATCGTCAGCGCCCGCTGCTTCCCCTCTACTCCGTGGCCGCGCGCCGGAGCTCGTGCTCCGAGCCGCACCCGCACGCGCGCGCCCGCGACGCTCGTGGCCGCCCCTCGCCATGCGCACCGTGGTCGCTGTCCCCGTACCACGCTCGCTCGCCAACACCTGCCCGCACACACCTGCTACGCCCGCGGTCGCGCCCCCGCCTCCGGCCGCCCGGGCTCCTCGCACCTGCCGCCGCCGCCCTTCACCGCTGGAGTCGCTCGCCGCGGCAGCCGCGGGTCAGCGCTGGAGCCGCTCGCCGTGGGTCAGCGCTGGAGTCGCCACGGGTCGTTGTTGCAACCGCCAGAGCCGCTGCGGGTCACCGCTGGAGCCGCCCGCCCCTCCACCTCCTCCTCTGCGACGCGCTGCTCTGCCTCACGGCGACGCAATCTCTCGCGCGGTCGCGGCGGGGGCAACAGCGACGGCAGGAGCTTGGTGGGCACGACGACGGCGGGGGCAGCAGCGTGGCGGGGGCAGCCGTCGTCGCTCACGGCGGGGGCAGCAGCGCGGCGCTGGCGGCCACGCGGCAGTGGCCGGCCCCAGGAGCTTGGTGGGCACGACGACGGCGAGGTGGGAGCGATGACGGCGAGGCGGGAGCGGGCGCGCGCGTGCGGGTGCGGCTCCGGCGCGAAGGATGGCCAGGGTGGCACCTGGTTCGTGGGCCCAAGCGGTCAGATTTGTGCTTAGCGCGGGCCAAGCGAGCGATTTCGCGACTTGGTAGTTTTTTGCCACGGATTAGGAAAAAAGTGGTAGTTTTTCGCACAGAATCGTAAAGTGGTAGTTTTTCGTCACGGTTCCGTGAATTGTGGTAGTTTTTGGTTAAATACTCTAGCCATAGAGATGTATCAGGAAAGTGTGCCTCTGTTATAAGAGGTGGATATCTGTACAACAAAGGCATTTTCATTATTTTTCTGTTGCTGCATACCTTGCTTCATTTTGGTCTCCATATTTCTAACACTATCTCTATCCGGTGATTTTCCAGTATTACTTGCGGCCACTTTCTACTAGTTCAGGTTTACCAAAGTACAATTCTGGAAGAGAATTTGAACACAACCCTCCAAGAAGTGCCCAGACCAGCGTGCAGTAGACAACTAGAAAAGCAGTGTTCAAATATATTACCCACACTGTAATGTAAAGTCCACACTAATTCATGGATATATTGCATCCACATTTTATAACAAGGAAATACATAAACAAGTACCAGCTGCCATGCTTGTCTCACAGACCCACACTGCAGTCTGTCTTGATGATCTTTATAATCATCCGCATCTGCAGCTGTGCTTGACTCTGTAGTAAATTAACAGCTTAATCAGACACGGCCAGCCAAGATAAAAGGAAAAGAAAAATGGTTCTTAAATAAATTTGGACAGATCCCAGTCCAATTTTGTAAAGACAAATCAGCCAGTTTATGCACAATTTGTTCCAGATAATGGAATAGGAAGAGAGCACCTTTCCCAACCAGTTTATAGTTAACATATTCTTTGATTAAATTCCAAATCTACCACACAAATGTGGAAACAACGATAGTTTGTTCTACCCTGCTGAAGTAAGAGTGCACATTGACAGAGAAGTGCCAAACTTCGGTTCAAACAAAGAATCACCTTCCGCCTCCAGACCGGAGTTTCAACGCCACTATTCATTCCTCGTTTTCCAAGCAGCATCAGCAAGCTTCGACCATCGCTACAGGAGAACGAAAGCTTGTGGTTGCAACCATGGGCTTGGGCCACTAAATTCTTATTCGACTTTCTATATTCGTCAATTTGCCACGCACAAATTTCCTTTTCTTTTTGACCCTCATTTGGCCACGACCAAAAAACAAAAACTAGAAGGAAAATGGAACACCATTTCCCAGACACCAAATTAGCTATCATCAAACGAGCTGTTTGCTATGCAGAAGAGATGCTGAAAACATAATCTCTATCAGCGTATTTTACTGTTTTTCACCTGGTACCATTTCCTACTATCCCAAAGTCACATTCTGAAAAGAGAATGCCTCACAAATTTGAATCAAACCCTCCAGGAGGTGCACAGATCAGCAATTTGAAAAGCAGTGCACAAATAATAATACCCATGCTGTAATGTAAAGTCGACACCAATAAGTATTTTTTAAACCAATATCCATCATTGCTCTAGCAGAAGCCATGAGCACTTATTTTATGAGATTATTATCATTTCTTGACCATACCCATCAACAAATTATTATCTTCGCAGACGAGGAAGATTCAAGTGTGAGTCGCTCCTTAATCTGACGCCTGCTAGCTTCATCCACCTGGGATCTCCTCGGATCAATGGCATTGCACTCCTTGCATGGGTCCTCACCATGAAGCTCGATTCTCTTCAACCTCACAACATGTGCCATGACTAGCCTTATATAGTTTGTCACCTTGACCTCCTCCTCGAACCCTAACATCATCAGCAACTTCAAGTTCAGATGCTTCAGATCCTTCGATGGCTCCCACACCACATTCGTCTTTTCGGCAGTGTCGTAAAGCTTTTTGCCACATGTATGTCGAGTTCGAGATAACTTCATGCATGGACATAGAAAACAGATAACACATGTTAACTAAACTTGCCACCAACCAAATGCAAGACAATGTAAAAAAACAACTGCAATTAAATATTTTGGCCACCTAAAAATTTGAAAAGCACTCAATACTAATATTGAATCTACCCCCTTGTAGAGTTTTTGGATGAATTTGGATGAACTGAATCCTACGTAAAGTAAGACACATAAATATGCTTCTGGGATTCCTATGAAATTACAGCTATATTCCTCCTATGCTGCTCACCTGTTTGTTTATTTCTTTCGACCAACATACTTTGTAATAAATATTTTTAATGAAAAGGGATATGTGCATCTTTCCTCCTTGCCAAAAAGAAAACAAGGAGAGAATTTTGGAGAACTCTAAAACAAGGTACTACAATCCAGCAGAATTTTTTTTGTATTGCACGGACATTGTCTTACAGCAAGATTAAAATGAGGACTGTACACACTACTTCTAACATTCGTGGTAGATTAGAAAATCAGATCAATTTCCTGCTATGTTGTTGATGCTGAATATTCCAGTAACATGCCATTCTAGAATGAGTCACATCCATACCTTGAAATTCCGTAGGGCAGGTGCAGCTTCTAGGATAAACAGGGTCCAGCTCAGATCACACTCAGGGAAGATACCAAAAAGATACACGTCGGTCAGGTTTCTGAATATAGCAGTGAGCCGCTTCGGCTGCTCCGGCTGAATCCAAATCTGCAACATGAAGAACACAAAATACACAGCTGAAATTGGTAAAATAGAACAGGGGGTGATGTGTAAATGCACAGAAATTAACTTTACCGTTTGGCTGAAGAAATTGAGATTCAGTTTCGACAGATTCCTGGAACTCCTTGAAAGGCACTCACTCAACATGAGTGGCGCTTGCGACGCCTTGGCAAGATAACCGAGGTTCACATGGCAAAGCTGGGGAACGTCGCCGAAGCGCACTGGAGGGTTCTCGTAGCGCCGAGAACAGCACAGTACTGTCCTGAGCTCGGGGACGGAGATGAGTTCGATCCGTTCACAACGAAAACGGATGCAGTCGAGCCTCCGAAGCCCCGAGCATGGGGTATCAATCCTGAGCGCCAACCGCTGATCAACCAGTCTGCAGGAACTCAGGGTGAGGTGCTTGAGCTTATTGCAAGCGTTAATAAGTGCGGTGACGTCGGAATGTCCAAACACAAGGTTCTTGAGTGTAAGCCTCGTGAGCCACCAGAAGGCGACCGGGTAGGCCTGGGAGAAGGACATGAACTGCTGCCCGAATTCAGCAAGCAGGCTGGCGTTGCTCCCTCGCGGCGGGGATATGGAGAACTCAAGGCATCCAGTCTTGCCGTAGCTCACAACGTCCTCGACGGTGCGGCCTATTGAGCTCAGGTGAGGGGGTGACATGTAAAAGCCGAGGATGAGGGCTTTGATGGGAATGATGGCAGCACTGCCGCCCTCGCCCTCGGCCAGAGGAACCACCACAGAGAGCAACCTCTGTGCCGCGCCCGTGAAGGCGTCCATGACCTCGAGCGGCGTGGCGCCTTGGCCTTGGAAGTGACCGACGTCGAGGTGCAGGCGCGATAGCCGGTACGGGAGGTCACGCCACCGCGTGGAGAGCGCGCCGGCGCGGACCGCCTCACGCAGGTCGAGCCGCTCGAGAATTGCGAGGAGGAGGTCGTCGGTGAGCGCGCTGATTCTGTCCTCATCCCGGCCGACATTGAGCTTGTGCGGCGGTGACTCCATGGCCGGGAATCGGAGACCGATCTGTTGGTTGGAACCCTAGCCGGAACCAATCGCTGAGATGCGCCCGTTGGGACGGCCTCCTGCTCCGGGGATGCGGCCCCTCATCCTCCCTCCGGCGAGCCGCTCCCCACCTCCCACGCGTGGCCGTGGATCTGGGTCCGCCGCGCGGCCAGCTCGATGGATCCGGCGGCCCCGGCCTCCTCCTCGACCCCCTCCGGCGTTCTGCTGCTAGTCGATTTGGATGATTTGGTGGCTGATTAGATGGTGGATGTGTCGGATTGGAGTGGATTTGTGAGTGGATTGGAGCTCTCAGAGAGTGGGGATCCACAGAGACGGAGGAGAAGAAGAAGCCTCGTGATGTGCTGTGCTGTGTTAGAGAAAGAAGGCACCTTCCAAATATAGTCTGGAGTACTCACACTCTCGTGTGCTAGTGCTGTCACTTTGTGAATTTTCACTCCCACCCAAATACTCCTATATGAAATTATAGGTTCATCGTAGATCAAACTAACATCAAATATTTATCGTCACGCACGCATGACTAGAAACCCTAACCATGCCCCCTCAAGGAGAGGGCAGGTACCCATGTCGGAGCTTCGTCGAATACGTCCCAATCGACAAACCCGAGGAGGATCGGAAAGCCCAGAAAACAAACTCGAAGAAGAAGCGTCGTCAACTGCCCCTGCGCCGCACCTGCGAGAACTAAAAACCCCTAACCCAAACTACTAGCCCGAGTGAAGGCGCTAGGATTTCCCTCCCCACCGCCACCACCACTGGAGTGGCAGAGAAAGGGGGGGTAGCTAATCCACGGGCTCGCCCGCAAAATCTGGAGGAGAGAGTTTACCCTAGCCGCCGAGGGGAAGGGGAGAAAACTCATGAAGATTAATCTGCGCTCATGTATTGTCTAAGAGCATCTTCAACTGGATTGACATGTCATCCTTTTAGGGACATCCGATAAAATTAGAACAAAACTGGATTGGCATGCCCATGAAAACCCCATTTGTCCTCAAACGCAACTACACCCTCCATTTCATCGCCCCACTTGTCCATACAAATGCATATGATTGATAGGGACAAAGAGAGCGAAAAAAAAGAAGAAGAAAAAGCGATTCGGGATGGACCAAATCCAGTGAGGTAGCTTGTCTAGACAAGAGAGAAAATAAGAAGAAAAAAGTGACTTGGGATGGATCGAATCCAATGAGGTAGGATGTCTACTACACAACCTTCTTCTTGTAGACGTTGTTGGCCTCCAAGTGCAGAGGTTTGTAGGACAGTGGCAAATTTCCCTCAATTGGATGACCTAAGGTTTATCAATCCGTGGGAGGCGTAGGATGAAGATGGTTTCTCTCAAACAACCCTCCAACCAAATAGCGAAGAGTCTCTTGTGTCCCCAACACACCCAATACAATGGTAAATTGTATAGGTGCACTAGTTCGGCGAAGAGATGGTGATAAAAATGCAATATGGATGATAGATATAGGTATTTGTAATCTGAAAATATAAAAACAACAAGGTAGCAAGCGATAAAAGTGAGCGTAAACGATATTGCAATGCTAGGAAACAAGGCCTAGGGTTCATACTTTCACTAGTGCAAGTTCTCTCAACAATAATAACATAATTGGATCATATAATTATCCTTCAACATGCAACAAAGAGTCACTCCAAAGTCACTAATAGCGGAGAACAAACGAAGAGATTATTGTAGGGTACGAAACCACCTCAAAGTTATCCTTTCTGATCGATCTATTCAAAAGTCCGTAGTAAAATAACACGAAGCTATTCTTTCCGTTCGATCTATCATAGAGTTCGTGCTAGAATAACACCTTAAGACACAAATCAACCAAAACCCTAATGTCACCTAGATACTCCAATGTCACCTCAAGTATCCGTGGGCATGATTATACGATATGCATCACACAATCTCAGATTCATCTATTCAACCAACACAAAGTACTTCAAAGAGTGCCCCAATGTATCTACCGAGAGTCAAGACAAAAACGTGTGCCAACCCCTATGCATAAGTTCACAAGGTCACTGAACCCGCAAGTTGATCACCAAAACATACATCAAGTAGATCACGTGAATATCCCATTGTCACCACAGATAAGCACATGCAAGACATACATCAAGTGTTCTCAAATCCTTAAAGACTCAATCCGATAAGATAACTTCAAAGGGAAAACTCAATCCATTACAAGAGAATAGAGGGGGAGAAACATCATAAGATCCAACTATAATAGCAAAGCTCGCGATACATCAAGATCGTGCCAAATCAAGAACACTAGAGAGAGAGATCAAACACATAGCTACTGGTACATACCCTCAGCCACAAGGGTGAACTACTCCCTCCTCGTCATGGAGAGCGTCGGGATGATGAAGATGGCCACCGGTGAGGGATCCCCCCGCTCCGGCAGGGTGCCGGAACATGGTCCCGATTGGTTTTTGGTGGCTACAGAGGCTTGCGGCGGCGGAACTCCCGATCTATGGTGCTCCTGGATGTTTTCGCGGTATATAGGTATGTATAGGAGGAAGAAGTAGGTCGGTGGAGCTGCGAGGGGCCCATGAGGGTGGGGGCGCGCCAGGGGGGGGGGCAGGCGCGCCTCCCTGCCTCGTGGCCTCCTTGCTTCATTCTTGACGTCCACTACAAGTCCTCTGGATCACGTATGTTCCAAAAATCACTCTCCCGAAGATTTCATTCCGTTTGGATTCCGTTTGATATTCCTTTTCTGCCAAACACTGAAATAGGCAAAAAACAACAATTTGGACTAGGTCTCCGGTTAATAGGTTAGTCCCAAAAATAGTATAAAAGTGTATAATAAAGCCCATTAAACATCCAAAACAAATAATATAATAGCATGGAACAATCAAAAATTATAGATACGTTGGAGACGTATCAAGCATCCCCAAGCTTAAGTCCTGCTCGTCCTCGAGTGGGTAAATGATAAAAACAGAATGTTTGACGTGGAATGCTACCTAGTATAATTCTCAATGTAATTTTCTTTATTGTGGCATGAATGTTCAGATCCAAAAGATTCAAGATAAAAGTTCATACTGACATAAAAATAGTAATACTTCAAGCATGCTAACCAAGCAGTTTATGTCTTATCAAAATAACATAGCCAAAGAAAACTTATCCCCACAAAATCATATAGTTTGGCCATGCTTCATTTTCGTCACACAAAATGCTCCATCATGCACAACCCCGGTTTCAGCCAAACAATTGGTTCATACTTTTTAACGCGCTTCAGCCTTTTCAACCCTCACGTAATACATGAGCATAAGCCATGGACATAGCACTATGGGTGGAGTAGAGTATGATGATAGGAATTATGTGAGAAAACAAAAAGGAGAAAGTCTCATATTGACGCGGCTAATCAACGGGCTGTGGAGATGCCCATCAATTGATGTCAATATGAGGAGTAGGGATTGCCATGCAACGGATGCACTAGAGCTATAAATGTATGAAGCTCATCAAAAAGAAACTAAGTGGGTGTGCATCCAACTTGCCTGCTCATGAAGACCTAGGGCATTTGGAGGAAGCCCATCATTGTAATATACAAGCTAAGTTCTATAATGAAAAATTCCCACTAGTATATGAAAGTGACAACATAGGAGACTCTCTATCATGAATATCATGGTGCTATTTCGAAGCACAAGTGTGGAAAAGGATAGTAACATTGTCCCTTCTCTCTTTTTGTCTCATTTTTTCTTTTTTTTATATTTTTTATTTGGGCTTCTTTGGCCTCTTTTTTTTATTTGGGCTTCTTTGGCCTTTTTTATTTTTCATAAAGTCCGGAGACTCATCCCGACTTGTGGGGGAATCATAGTCTCCATCATCCTTCCCTCACATGGGACAATGCTCTAATAATGAAGATCATCACACTTCTATCTATTTACAACTCAAGAGTTACAACTCGATGCTTAGAATAAAAATATGACTCTATTTGAATGCCTCTGGCGGTGTACCGGGATATACAATGAATCAAGAGCGACATGTATGAAAGAACTATGAAAGGTGGCTTTGCCACAAATATGATGTCAACTACATGATCATGCAAAGCAATATGACAATGATGGAGCGTGTCATAATAAACGTAACGGTGGAAAGTTGCATGGCAATATATCTTGGAATGGCTATGGAAATGCCATAATAGGTAGGTACGGTGGCTGTTTTGAGGAGGATATAAGGAGGTTTATGTGTGATAGAGTGTATCGTATCACGGGGTTTGGATGCACTAGCGAAGTTTGCACCAACTCTCAAGGTGAGAAAGGGCAATGCACGGTACCGTAGAGGCTAGCAAATTGCGGAAGGGTAAGAGTGCGTATAATCCATGGACTCACATTAGTCATAAAGAACTCATATACTTATTACAAAAGTTTATTAGCCCTCGATGCAAAGTACTACTATGCATGCTCCTAAGGGAAGGGTTGATAGGAGTTAACCATCGCGCGATCCCGACCTCCACTCATAATGAAGGCAATCAAAGAAAACCCCATGCTTCAAATTTGTCACACAATGTTCACCATACGTGCATGCTATGGGACTTGCCAACTTTAACACAAGTATTTCTCAATTTCATAATTACCCAACTAGCATGACTCTAACATTACCACCTTTATATCTCAAAACAATTATCAAGTATCAAATTTATCATAGTGTTTAATGCACTCCATATGAAAGTTTTTATTTTATCCAACTTGGATGCCCATCATATTAGGACTAATTTTATAACCAAAGCAAATTAACGTGCTGTTTAAGACTCTCAAAATAATATAAGTGAAGCATGAGAGATCAATAATTTCTACAAAATAAAACCACCATCGTGCTCTAAAAAGGTATAAGTGAAGCACTAGAGCAAAATTGTCTAGCTCAAAAGATATAAGTGAAGCACATAGAGTATTCTAATAAATTCCGATTCATGTGTGTCTCTTCAAAAGGTGTGTACAGCAAGGATGATTGTGATAAACTAAAAAGCAAATACTCAAATCATACAAGATGCTCC